TTCCTCTTGGTTTTTTTGACTGGATAGAGCATATGCCTATAAATCTATTCTATGAGGCTATAATAGGCGGCCGACTACGATACAGATAGATGTATCTGTTTGAGGTATATCTTTCCAATGTCCCATTATACAATTTATAAAGAATCATTACCATATCTCACTAAATAATTAATGCTATCGCATAATTTTGATAAAATTAAAAAAATCATGAAAAATAACACATGAACTGGTCAAGGCTCAATATGCAAAACATACCTAGTGCAGAAGATAACTACCTTCTATTCATATTATTTTGAGCAATGACTAATATACCAAACTATAGGTGCGGTGCTTTTGTAGCCCTTGCTTTATGTGTTACAATAATCATATGAAGCATCAACGTAATGCAATGTACGTCACCTCGATGATAAAAAGTTTCGAGCGGTGACTTAATAATAATTAGTAGTTATTCAAGTTACTATTAATCAAAATTATTTAATTAACTTGATTATCAAAAAATTAATTATGTGAGTAGGTATGTTCTCTTTAATACTATCATTATAGAGTCTCAAGCCCCCAGATGTAAAAAGTGAAAGGTTGTGTTAAGTAGTCAACAATCAGTGTAAAATTTGTCAAAAAAGAATGTCATGAATCTCTTAAATCCTTGTGTAACCGCTAGGGTGTCCCCTAAAAGCGACGCGTTGTATGGTCTGAATATAGTAAAAAAATGTGCAAGGACCACTACATTGGTGTTCGGGCGGAGTGTCAAATAATTAAGGGTTCCCTCATTACTGACAGATACAGGTAAATAAGTAAGTTCATGAAACTAATATTAGGATATGATCTTGGAATATAGGTACCCTCACAAGTAAACTAATGAAACTAATTGATATTATGGTTCATAGGAAGATAAATATTTTATGTATTCAAGAAACTAAATGGGTTGGAGAAAAGTTTAAAGACATTGATAGCTTAGGTTTTAAACTTTCATATTCATACTAGAAATGGTGAAGTTATAATCATAGATAAAAGTATGAAAGATAATAGTGTAAAAATTACTGTAATTGAATATAAAATTATAGCCCTTAAGATTGTTTTTTATACTAAGATTAATGTATAAGTACTAAAGCTCTACAAGCAGGTTTAGATATAGGTTCTAAAGAAAAAATCTGGAATGACCTAAAAGAATTAATACAAATGATTTCTCATGAAGAATAAATTTTTATTGGAGGAGATTTAAATGGATATGTTGATAATATGTGATAGAAGATTTTAGAAATATTCATGGTGACTACAGTTTTTGAGTACTTAATGAAGAAGGTAGAACAATATTAGATTTTACTTTAGCGTATGATTTTGTTATTACTAATATTTTATTTAAGAAAAGAGATTAGAATATTATTATTTATACGAATGGATCTAATAAAACAAAAATTGATTATTTTCTTATGAGAAGAAGATATCGTTAAGAATGTACAGATTATAAGGTAATTAAAAATGAAAATTTAAGTACTCAACTTTGATTATTAGTTTTGCATTTTAAGATGAAAAGTAGTAAGAAAAAGAATATTATGATTTTTTGTCACAGAATTTGATGGAGGTTCTGAAAAGACACAAATAAAATTATTTTTATCAGCAAAGTTCAAGATTTTAAAAATTGAGATATTCATGAAGAAGCAAATTCTATGGGAGTAAAATAACAAATATTATTGAACAATTAGAAAAAGATGTACTTGGAGAATCAAAAGAAAAATTTTCTATAAATAAAAATAGTTGGTGGTGGATAATGTGCAAGAAAAGTTAATAAGAAGTTAAGTTATAAAAAATATTTTAAAAGTAAAAGCTTAGAGAATTTGAAAAAAACATAAGGTGGCCCTTAGTGACTCTAAGAAAATAATTTGTGATGGTAAAAATTCTACTTCTAGCAATCTTTATAATAGATTTGATACTAAAGATGGTGAAAAATATATATATAAACTAGACAAACAAAGAGGAAAGAAGAGTAAAGATTTGACTCAAGTATAGTGTATTAAAGATGAAAATTAAAAAAAATGCTTTTTTTAGAAAAAGGTATTCAACATAGGTGGGTGAACTATTTCGATAAACTTTTCAATGAAACTTTTGAAAATACTACCTTCCTTAGTGATATTAATATCATTAATAATAATAAAATATTTTATTTTTACTGCCGCATTACTAAAAAAGAAGTTCAAGAAACTTTAAAGAGAATCAATGGTGGAAAATCAGTAAAACCTGATGATATCTTAATTGAAGTGTGAAATTGCTTAGGAAATTTGAGAGTTTCTTGAATTAGTAAACTGTTTAACATTCTTTTAAAATCTAAAAAGATGCCTGAGGAATGAAGGAAGAATATTTTGGTCCCCATTTTCTAGAATATGAAGATGCACAAGAGAGAGCAAATTATTGAGGAATTAAGTTGATTTGTTTTACTTTAAAATTAATAGAGGGCAATTGAACAAAGGTTAAGACATACAAAGATTTCTCATGATTATTTTGAATTTATGTCCGGCATGTCTCCTATCGAAGTTATAAATTTATTGAGAGGTTTAATGGAGAAGTACATAGAGAATAAGAAGGATCTACATATGATTTTTATTGATGGGTGAGGTTCCGAGAGAAGTCCTTTGGAGAGCTCTAGAGAAGAAAGGTGTTGATGTGAATTATTTTCAAGTCATTAAAGATATGTCTACTAGAGTTGTTACTTGTATTTGAACAGAAAGAGGATTTATCAAGTATTTTCCTATTTTAGTTGGATTACATTTGGGATCGTCTTTAAGCCTATATCTTTTTGTTTTAGTTTTGGATGCTCTTACCAGAAATTTACAAGAGGATGTACCTTGGTGTATGATTTTTTCTCATGATATAATTCTTTTGGATAAGACTAGATAAAGCATTAAAAAAAAATTAAATTATGGAGGTCCACATTGGAGCCTAAAGACCTTTTTTTTAGTAGAGCTAAAACTTAATAAATTGAATGTAAGTTTGGTAGTAGTATCCTTAGTGACAGAATTGTAACTATGGGTAATCAAATCATTAAAAGATATGAATGGTTTAGATAACTTGGGTTTATTCCTTAGAGTGGTGATGATATAAATGGGGATGTTATCAGTAAAATTCAAGCTGGTTGGTTGAAGTGGAGGAATACTTCTGGCCTATTGTGTGATTGAAAAGTATCGTTTAAACTGAAAGGAAAATTTTATAAGATGGTGGTGAGAACCACAATGCTCTATGACGCAGAATGTTGTTCTTTAAAAGAGAAGCATAAAATAAGTTAAGCACTGATAAAATGAGAATGCATAGGTGGATGAGAGGCTTGACACGAAGAGACAAAATACCAAACGAATATATCTGTGATAGGTTTGGTGCAGCTCTAGTGGTGGACAAGATTAGAGAGTTGTCTTAGATGGTTGGGTCACATTGAACGTTGATTATCTGATGATCCGGTTAGGAGAGTAGATGTTTTAACTTCAACTGATCTTAAGAAAGGCAGAGGTAGACCTAAAATGACTCAGGCATATATTGTATAAAAATGATCTTAATCTATTAGAATTACATGAAAACATGACACTTAATAGGGCACAATGGAGAAAACAAATTCATGTAGCCGACCCCACTTAGTGGAATAAAGGCTTGTTGTTGTTGTTGTTGAGTAGGTATGTTCTTGTTAAACATTGAGGATGAGATTATTATTAATAAGAAGACTGAAAAAAAAAGTTCTCAACATTATTCAAATTATATATAAGTTATAATAACTAGGCATTTATTAGCACGTAGTTTTAACAGTCAAATTACATATGCCTCTTAATGTTTTAAACAAGGTCATAATAAAGATAATGGAGTTATAGATGAGAGCTTATTAGAACTTGCTTGAGGGTTTAATTACAACAGAGATACATGACTAATATTTGATGTGAATGGCTACTGATTTCACATAAGTCGTGATCCAAGCACAAAAATACAAATAACTCAATTGTTTGTGGCAAAGAAAATACCAATTATGATATTGAAATCAGTTATTATGAGATTTTTTAAGAAATAGTGCATATATAATATATGAGTTTTATCAAACGTAGTTTATTATTGCTCAACTATGATTGCTTTGATCATTTTCATAATCAAGGAATAAGAACAGACAATTCATATGACATCACTGAAGTTAAAATAAATAGAAGATATATCAAATTTGATTCATTCATTATGCATGTCAAGATAGTGGTGTATATTACCTTAGATACCCTCGTAGCTATGACCAGAGCCCTTGGAGACCAGTTTTGTCTAGCTTCTGCTAGAGGAGAAGCCGATGGGTTTGCTGGCCATCTTGCAGATGAGCAACACTATAAGGGTCACCATTATGTCAGCCACATATGTGTCAAGAGAAAAAAAACTTCTGGTTCATAGCCCCATGGAGTAGTGTAAATATACTTCGGGGTTGAATCCATCATATAGTAGTACTTTTGTTTCTCGGATGATATACTATTCATTGAAGTCATATTCAATCAAAAGTAAGAAATTTTAAAACTATTGTATGTCCCCAACATTGCAGAAACAATTTTCAAATCTCTAAAAGTTCCGTTATACATATGGATAAATTCCAATAAAAATAATAAAAAAAAGTTCTTTTTTTTTATTTTTCAATTTTAATTTGCCAACAAGAAAAATTGTGAGTTAAACCTGTCAGAAGAACAAAATTTTTGGCTTCTTTTTGCTATTGCATGAATTTATTTGAGTTTTGAGAAGATTTTAAAAGCATCTTTATATTGTGCATACTTACTAATGACTTATTGCATAGTTAATTATATCCTACTTTCCTTAGCCTTACACTTAATCAAATTAATTCATATTTATATTTGTATTCTCTCAACATATGTTTTTTTTTTCAAACATAATATTTATGTTATTATACATATAATGTCAGAAAATCTAACTAATCTTTAGCATTAATGGTTGTGGGACTCTTAAGCTCAAAGGAGGTGACCTGACCCACTTCCTAACGATAAAAACACCCCAGCTGAGTACTGTCTCCTCCCTTCATCTGAAAAAAATATATTTTATTTTCCAGTTTCAGAAGTCTGTAATCCCGTTGGCCTCCTTTCTTCCAGATTCGATTAACCGGGGGAAACGAGACACTTCTACCCTTCATTTCAGAATAAAGATTTCATTTTTCCTCCTCTGTCTCTCCATCTCTGTCTCCCCATCTCTCTCGCCGGTTAACGCTGGTGACAAGACTCAGATTTCCGAGGTGAGTTAGAGAAAAATAAAGGCAAAAGAGCAGTAGATTTGGTTTTACGAATCCTTGTTTTTTTCTTTTTAATTTTTAAATTTTTTATATTTGCTTTGACGAACACGTTAACTACGAGGATCCAGACTCTTGCTTTAAATCCATTCGTTGAACGAATACTTGTTTTTTTTTTTTTTTAAAGATTATGAAGAATTTCGTGTCAAGTTCTGATTTTTTTTATTTTAATCCCTGCTTGAAGAGTTCTTGACAAGAAAATTGCTCTCTTTCTTCCCATATCAACCAGTCCTCTGCAAGACATTCAATCGCCAGTTGCGTCATTTTTAATAATATATTATTTTCTAAACTTGTTATGAGTTTCATGACTTTTCCCTCTTCCCTGAAAAGAATAAAATTTGTTGCCTTTTACAGAAATTTATTAACTTTTTAATTTCCAAGAATTTCTTATTTTGATGACTAAAAAGTTGCATTGATTTTAATGAGAAAAACCAGATCGGCTTTATGTCAATCATGCATATAAACTATCTGTTAACTGTCCTCATTCAAAAAGTGGAAAACAATGATTCCCACTTCTCTCCCTTCTCCTTGTCTCTAATGCCCCATTACCAAGTACAGAAGACTCCCTTCTTTTATTATTTAAATCTTGAGCCTAAATCTACTGATACATGCCTCAACTTTACTGCTGCTTTTTATTCATGCTTATAAAGTCAATTAGTTCATATATTTGGACCTCAAAAAAAAAAATCACTTTTTTACATTAACTCAGTTGAATTTTTGTTCATTTGCTGTCATTTATTGCACCTTATGATGAGATGAGACTGGCATTCATCTAAAGTTCCGATCTTTACACAATATTCAGCCATATCTTGCCTCATCCCTCCCATCAAAAGAAATGGAAGCTGGGGACGCAACAAAAATGGAGAACAGAGTTGTGCAAGCATTTCAGAAAAGCTTTGTCCAGGTTCAGAGCTTACTAGATCAGAACCGCATTATCATAAATGAAATCAACCAAAATCATGAATCTAAGATTCCAGACAACCTGAATCGCAATGTTGGCCTCATAAAGGAGCTCAACAGCAATATTCGGCAAGTTGTTGACCTCTATGCCGAACTCACTTCCTCCTTCACGAAGTCCATGGATTCCGGTGAAGGTGACTTGGGGACAAAGAAGAGATTCCGGCCAACCTAAGGAAGGAAACAATGGTGATGAGGATCACAAAGATGGTGTGATCATTGGAAGAGGGGGAGGAAGAATGTGTGAGTGAAAGAGTAATGTTTCTGTTGAGATATACTGAAGTGGTTCATGTTTTATTGATCAGTATATTGTTTTAGCCAATCTGTTTTGGTTTGGAGATAAAATGGGATTAAATTCGTTTGTGATGAATGACTGTGCATAGGGCTGTCAAAACAGCTCGTTCGCGAACAACTCGTTTTAGGCTCGTTCTCTATGTTAATGAGTCGAACATGAATAAAAATTTGTTTGTTCGTGTTCGACTCGTTTTAGCTCGAAAAACTACTCATCAATTATATATATATATAACTATATGGACTACAAAAATTTATAATTATTTAAAAATATTAATTAAGAAAATGAAATAAAATTTATTAAATTAGATTCAAATTATATTTTAATATAAATAATAATTTTTTAAATCTTGCCCAAATCATTAACATCTTATGATTACGTGAGTAGAGTTGTCAAAACGACTCTTTGTTCTTGAACAGCTCGAGTTAGACTCGTTAAGCAAACGAGCCGAACACAAACACACTTTTTAAGCTCGAAATATAAACGAGCCTCGTTCACACCCCTAATTGTGCAAGAATATGACTATATAAGGGCTAAAAACTTGTATTTTTTAAATGTGAAGATGAACTAAATATCTTCAAAAGAGAGAAGGAGAAAGAGAAAAAGAATATTTTGTTGGAGAATAGTTGAAATCTAAATTCAAATAAAGACAAAAATTATAAGATTAAGAAAAAGAATAAAAAAATATAAAAGACTTCATATAAATCCATCAAATTGATGATTATATTCTCAAAGTTGTTGAATATTTCATTATGATTTCATCATTATGAATTATAATCTTATTTTTTTAATATAACATAACAAATTGAAAACTAAAAGAATAATAAAATTATCAAACGCTTGAGAGCTTTAATAGATTTACTTAGGAGATTTTACTAAGGTGAGACTCTAAGAGGGCTGGTAATTGTGAGTTGTTCTATTAAAATTGGTGGTGTTTTAGCTTCTCTTCATGCTAAGTTGCTTTTGTTTGTTTTCTCCGGAGATTCCTCCCCCCTTCACTTTTCTCAAGGTTGATTGTTCGCTTGTGTCTTGTAGGCTCTTGCTCGTGGGCCAACCCCTTCATGTTTGTTATATTTTGATGATATCATCTACCTTTATATACTTTTAAAGGGATAAGGAAGCTTGAATGTCAAAATATTATTTTAATTTAATATGGTTAACAATAATTTTAAAATTTTATTCTATATTTTACCTTTAATGCCATAAGATTATATTGGATAAGGATAAAAATTTTAAATGCATTATCAAATAAAATATTAGTATAATTATTGTCACCAAATTTCCTACTCCAATATTAAATGGGACTTAATTAAAAATTTGTTGTGTGACAATATAACTTAAAAGTTATTATAGTATATTGATAATTGATTATCATCCTTTCAAAATCATGGCATCTAAGTAGAGAATAAGCAAATCTCAAGGAGATATACCTATGATATGTGCCCCCAGAGGTTCAAGTCTACCCTACTAATTTGTTCAATTATGTGACTTTGTCTGTTGGTTAACTTCTTTGTTCTTATCCCTACATGAATTTAGTTTATTACCAACGGTCAAATATCATTGGTGATAACGGATAAACCGTAGGAAATATATTTACCGATGATTTAACGACAACAAAGTTGACGTAACAAAAAAGCTTGTTGGCAATGAAATTATCGAGGGATTTAGCGATGGTTTATATTAACCGATGGGTATCCGACATTCGATAATTGTCGCTCCATATCCAAAAACATGTCATATCTAATCGTATTTTAATTGTTAGTTATATAAGCGACACAAGTATCTATAAAAAATGTGTTGCACTTCCATCGGAAAAGTGTAGTGGTTCCATTGGTAAAATGTCGCTCAACTGTCGACTAACTGTGTGAATTTATCAACGATTTTGCCCGTAGCACAAGTGCAACACTTTGTCTTGAAGTTGCTTGTTCTGCATACCGTTGGAAAACCATTGGCATAAAATCAAGGAGTCGTAAAACTGTTAAAAACCTGTACCATAAAAAAAAAAAATTAAGACATCTTTCAATGCTACAAATTGCACACCTACAATCATTACAGTGCAATCAAAACACAACGGTTGGCATCAATTTTTGATGTCATAAGTATAGAATGTCCACCTGCAAGGCTTAAGGTGGTCTACGGTTCATTTGTAGCATTTGGTAACTTAAGACACTCACCCGAGACCTTTTGGTATTTGTTCGGGACATATAAGCTAGGTTTTGTGGCGATTCAACCTTACCTGAGAAGATTCCCTTTGAGAGGCCCATCCAAGATGCGAGACGTGTTTGGTTCCTACTATAATTAGTAGAAGTCACCACAAGTCCATCCGGAGTCTCCCACGACCATAGCATGTCACAGAGTCCACCTACGGTCGCTATGGGAAAATTAAGGTTCAGGACACCCTACCCGTGTTGTGCTTTAGAACGGTTGTTGGCATCAATTTCTCTGGGAAATGACCAACCAAAATAAATAAATTTAAATTTATAGATATATATTTCACCCACATGGAGTCTCATAGCTTACAGATCGAAAAAATCTTCTAACGGGCGCTCTCGGCGACAACCAGGTTTCGAGCTAGACTAGCTCCCCATGGTCGTCCCTAGGGGTCCACACTCCCAAAATACTTTTTTGGACCATCGAGCTCATACCTTTAGAAGTCTAACAAATGATTTAAAAAATTGGCACAAATTCGGGCCCTAAGAGCCAATGAAACAGGATGCCAAGACCCTAAACAGGCCAAAGATCACCGTTCTCTCAAGAGCTTGGCACCTGGGCTCCACCTGAGTGGCACCAATGCCCCAATATACCTGGGTGTGGTGGATACATTCCTCCCGTCATAGTGAGTGTGTTGCTAGAACATTTCAAGGGCTGCTCAATATCAGATTTTACAAGCTATTAGTTTCACCCCAACTCTATTTCTATAACCATTTTTCAGTTAGACATATAACACATCCAGTTTTCTAAGGGAGTTTACCTACTCAATTCCAGGTGCCTAAATGAATGTCGGATTCACAAAGCCGCCATAAGCACCACCACAAACACACATGATCCCCTAACAGTATTAATTCAAATACAACTAGTTCAAATTTTCATTAAAAGTACAAGCAAGTCCTGCATTTTGTTGTTAATATCTTCAGGTAAGCCATCTAAAAAAACTACAAAATGCAACAGGAAGCAGATTTTACAACAGCTATAAGGATTTGCACCATGTAATTAGAACAGTAATTGGAAATGACATGTCACTTCACAAAGAGATAAATCATAGCCATTGCAAATGCGTCCTTAAGGAATGTTAGCTTATGCAATCATTATCATCACTGCCTGAATGAATGTCGGATTCATAAAGCCATCACTGCTGTAAACAAAATAAACAAAATCTGTTGTAGAAATCAACACAGTGCCTTCCACATTATCCTTACAAATATCCATTCATACTGCATACTGCATGGGATAGCCTCTACATTTGCATATGCATTCATGAGAAAATAACCAGGTACATCTTACAATAGCTAGAACAAACTAATGGTCCGTGAACACCAACAGATACATTTAATACAGAAGATGACATTACAATACATTAATAGATGAAAACTTGAAATAATTATTCAGAGAAGTTACTTTACTTCAGATCTTTACATGTATGCAGCACAAGAAGTTCATTCAACACAAAGTTAATTTTTAATTTTATATCTTCTATACATAACTGAACAAACTTGTGATTGAAAAGCAAAATTTCTCAAAAATAACATAATTGTATTTAAATTTAAGGATTATAAAACCTGAAAGTTTACAAAATATGCATGTGGGAAATGAGAGCCTTCAGATTGGAGTAAAATGCACTATTGGTTGAACTGCAAAAAGTACATATATTGAGATGCTATTCTCCAAGGAAAACAACAAATGACATTCTTTAAAATACAAAAAAATACAAAAAATGAAAGAGAAGAAACAAATCGCTCCCATCTCCCAGCCCTCTGCTTCTCCCCTCATATTTCCTTCGATATTTATTTTTTATTTTACTCCAATAAACACCAAATTTGATTGCAAGTGAAAGCCACTTTTTTGCATATATCATGATTTCAGTTCGCATTAATGAATATAAAAATACCAGCAGTCACAATACAAAAATGTAAGCATGACATACATAGATATGTAGAAATTTACATACATATCACTCAATTCCCATATGTTTATATATCTAACACCTAAACTTTGCTTTTTTAAATTTGTAAAAGGCAATTTTTTCCCATCACATCAAAAATAATAATTCTTTAACTTTTTAAACTAAAAAACACCTTTTCATGCATAGTAAGAGAAGTGTATGGGTAAAAATTGAAGTTTATATGTTACCTATGTAAAAAGGAATTGAGTGGTTTATGTAAATCTTCCAGAATCTTTAATCAAAATAATAGTATGGTTTCTGAGAGCTTTCCATCACATAAAATTTCTTAGGAGCATTTACACACATACAACCCCATCATAATTTATTTTGATCCCAAACAAAAATTTGATATGATTATATATATAAATGATGCACCCTCCTCCTCCCAAGCCCCCACATTATATATATAAATGATGCACCATCCTCCTTCCAAGCCACCACCTGCGGAATATATTGTTTGCCCAATAATTTAAAAAATTAGAAATTTGGAGATTTTACCCACTCTAAAAATAATGTTGGAGGAGGGTGCATCATTTATATAAGCATGCAAAGTGTTGAAATTAGGAAACACTAATGAAGCCCATCAAAAATACCACTATCACCATCTTTTTAAAAGTTTAATACACCTTTTCATATATAGGTTTATGACACAAAAATATTATATAAGTGTGAATATCAAATTTTGACTGTTAGATATGTAAATATATAATAATTCTGTGGTATGAATGTAAATTTCCCTAAAAATAATAAAAAATAAGAAATTAATACTAGTTATGCACAAGAATAAGCGCTATAGCAAAGATGTAGATGGTACTTACATTGGCTTCCGCTGCAGTATTAACATTCACATGAAATACAAATGCGCCACCGAGAATAACAATCTATTGCCTACCGAGTTCAATCTCATACCAAAAACTGGGATGGCCGGAAACAGATTCGGTAGGTTCAACTCAGATCAGTTCCCCAGTCATCCCAGATTCAAATTCCCAATCAAAGAAGCAAATAAGTCAGTCAGTTACTAAGAGGTGAGAATACTTCCAGGGCCAATGTATCTGAAAATACAAATCGGATTGCCATCTACCTTAACATGCTACCAAAACAATAGGAATTTACATATGAAAATTAATCTGTGTGTTCAAACAAAGATGTTCGATAAATCCAGCATTAGCTAGAATGACTAATTTCCTAAACCTAGAATATCCGCTCAAGAAACTCAACAAATTAACAGGTGCAGAGCATAGCTTCTAGCCAAAGCAGTATAAACGTTCCGTGGGTTGTTGTTAAGCTGATAACCTCTATTTCCGGCAATCTTGGTGTGACAAAAATCGTCATCCTGAAGCTAAATTAAGGAAAAAAAAAGAACAAATCTTTTTAAACAAAAAAAGGTCCCAGAAATCAAATGAATGGATTCGAGAAGAAAAATTTTACCCACCGATCCAATGGTAAATGTGATGATGTTCTTTTTTTCTAACCACTTCTCCCATTGCAAAGTTTGAGATCAGAAAGCAACTTGGCTCTGTCAAATCTTTGTTCTTGTTCAAATTGGAGCATAAAAAAAAGTTGATATAGAGCTCGAAGTCAAGCCAGAAAGAATCAGACAGAAATAGCATGAATAAAAAATCAAAGACAACCAATTGCGAGGGAGAGTACCTTGCACTTCCGGACTTTGAGTGTCTAAGAAACAAATTGCGGGAAATACAAACAACATAAATGGAAGGAGGAAGAAGTGAGAAAGAGATGAGACAAGAGAGTGAGATCGCGTAGACGGCGACCAACAGAGTAGGAGACGGAGGTGAGCGAAGCCCTACAAGAAGGAAGACGAATGTGAGCGGGTAACGAATGGTGGCTATATTGAAGAAGAGGAAGTTTTGGGTGGTTAATGTAAATACATAAGCTTAGGTGTTTGAGGTGATATATTTGAAGTTTTGGGCAGCAGGTATATAAAAATGAAAAACATTAAGAAAGCTATAACTCAAAATCTTAGAGGAGAAACATCAACGCCAAACTCAATGCATTATTGAAAGGATCCTCAAAATAAAATTTAAAGGCAAAATGAAAAACAGTTTTAACTTTCCTAACAATCAATAATTATCACACAAAAAAAACAGGATTCAAAATTACTACATGAACTAAAGTTTAAACTTTAAGATGCAAAAAAACAAATTACTCTGCCATGCTATCAGAATTGTGATCATCTTCATCACTGATTGCAAGTTCAGCAATCAACTCATCTATTGGAATAGAAGGAAGCTCATCTCCTCCAACAGTAGATGCCATCTCTGAAGGTTGATATTCATTGTCGCGATAGAGTGAAATGTTAAACCACAATTCTGGTTTCTCCTCTAACTCCCTCAAGAAAACCTCATAATCATCAGTCCTCTTCTCCTCATCCATTTTCCCTTTGGTGTGGTCAATCTCTATGTTCAAGCTCTTCAGCTTCCAAGAACGACCCTTTCCACGCTTCTTTTGCCGCTTCTCTTCATAGCTCTTCTTCACAAGAATCACATTAGGTAAATCAAGTCCTCTATACTTGTCGATCTCAAAATCATTTATATTGGCTCCATAAAGATCGTATCCAAGTGCATAATCTCCTGTATTCAAAAGATGCCCAATATGTGTCTTCACAGTGAATATATTATCATTCTTCCCGAAATCAGAAACCCTTGCCACCTGCACATAAGCCAATGCATACTTTGATCCCCCAACAGCCATCTCTGAGGACTCCATCTCTATATCCAATACATTATACTCAACAAGTTGTCGACTTGATAGCAGGGCCTTAAAGGGTGATCCCCAGTATTGCTTAGCATCAAGGAAAACAGTTCTTAGGGTGAATGGATCTAATAAGGCGATGCTACTACTCACCTTGGTGCAGAGAACAAGTGGACCAATGTTACCGAGAGTGTTTGCAACCTTTGGTGGGAGGCAGATCAAGTCTTCCCTACAAATGGGGCAAATCTCAACAGAAAAGGTGTGCTTGTAGTTGTACGTGTTGCTCTTGGTATCATGGGATACCAGCTGCTTATCACACCTTGACTGAACAGGAACAGAGCTGGAGATGAAATCAACGAACTTGATGGCATGGCTACGATTTCCAAAGAAGAAATCGATACCACGATCAGCCTCTTTGATGCGGAGAGTTCGCGCTGCTGCGCCATGATGAAGGATCAGTTGCTCCAGATGGAAAAAGGTGCGACGGTGGGAGACATGCTGGCGGAGTTGAACTGCGGCAACCCACTGGTCAGGATTGGCTTGGGAGCGGGAACATGACTCGCAGAGGTTATCGTGCTGCGTGAATTCAATGAGGTGGGATTGCTCTAGGATGGCGCCATTGAGGGCTTCTCTCTGGACTCGGAGGCGGAGCTTAATGCGCTTGGAGTGGGGCTCGGTCCACACAAACTCAGCGTTGACGATGCGAACATGGCGGGTGAGGGGTTTGAGGCGGCGAAGGCAGAACGAGAGGAGCTCTTTGGATTCAAGATCAGCGCGAATCCAGGTGCGCGGGGGTTGCAAGTAGCTGCGACACTCGGGGCAATAGACGAGGGAAGCGTGGCGTGGGAGGCCTTCAGTGATGTCTACCCGGGAGCGGAGACAGCGGACACATGTGTTTGCTGGATTTGGCGAGATCGGGACTCCGCAGATGCAACACACGACGACACCTACCGTTTTAGACGGTAGGAACATGCCTGCCGCCAGATCCGACGTCTGCATGGCTCTGGTAGAAGTGCGGAAGGAAGGATGAGAAATTTGGGGGTAAGCCGCGATCTCCCAGCCGACGGTTTTGGGCAGAGAGAAGTTTGGGAGAGGATGCAATACATACCAGGTCGACGCGCCGACAAAAATTCTTCTGAAAATAAATTAATGATAAATTTCAATTTTCTTCTTACTCATAAAGAATTTAATGAGCGATTTGATGAAAAATAAAAATATTGATGATGAAATATGTATGGCTGTCAAAACGGTTCGTTTGCGAACAGCTCGTGTTTGGCTCGATAATTTCGTTCGATAGATTAACGAACTGAACACGAACTTAGATGTGTTCTTTCGTGTTCGGCTCATTTTGGCACGACATACTATTCATTAAGTTTATATATATATATAAATTGTGTTTTAAAAAAATCTAATTGACTAAAAGCTACAAAGATTTATAATCAATTAAAATAATAATTAAAAAACTAAAATAAAAATTATTAAATTAGATTCAAATGATGTTTTAATATAAATAATAATTTTTAAATCTTATAATGTTTTAATATAAAAAATAAATTTTAAATCTTCCCCCAAGCCTTAACATCTTATTGTTACGTGATTAGGGTTGTCAAAACAACTTTGTTCGTGAGTAGCTCGTGTTAGGCTCGTTAAGCAAAAGAGTCGAACACGAACACACTTTTTGAGCTCGAGATATAAACGAGCCGAACGCGAGCTCGTTTACACCCTAGAAATATGTACAAAAATATGGAAAAGTTTAAAGTAAATGTGATGAAATCAGAAAATAATGACGAGTTGTTTGAAATGTGGGTGATTAATTCAGAAAATAGTGATGAGAAATATGAATCGGAGATAGTTTTAGCTGTGTTTGAAATGTTAACATTAATTTATGATATTATTGCAGAATTTTGTTGTTGTTATTGACATATTTTTGTAGTATTAGTATATGTTATTATAGTGTTTTCACGGTGCTATTATAGTGTTATTATCGTGTTATTAAGTTATTATTGTGGTGTTATTCAGATGTTATTGAGATTTTATTGTGATGTTATTTTAGTGGTATTGTGGTGGTTCTGTAGTAGTATTCGACCGATGTTATTGGAGTCTTATTATGGTGTTACTTCGACATTATTGTGGTATTATTTATGTGTTATTGATGTGTTATTGTAGTGTTATTTTGGTATTATTATGTTGTTATTGTGTTATTTTTGTTGTGCTATTGAGGTGTTATTTCAATATTATTATGGTATTATTGTGGTATTTTTGTGGAGTTATTGAGATGTTAGTGAGATGTTATTATGGTGTTATTTGAGTGATATTGTTGATGTTGTATGGTGTTATTCAATTGGTGTTATCACGATGTTATTATAGTATTATTGCGGCATTATTGTGGTGTATTTATGTGTTATTGAGGTTTTATTATACTGTTATTTTAACGGTATTGTGACAGCTCTGTGGTGGTATTCGATTGGTGTTATTGGAGTCTTATAATGGCATTGTTTTTGTATTATTATGACGTTATTCAAGTATTATTAGAGTGTTATCTCAGTGTTATAATGACATTTTTGTGGTGTTATTGAGGTATTTTTGTGATCTTTTGGTGATGTATTATTATGCTGTTATTGTAGTATTTTTGTGGTTTTATTGAGATGTTATCGTGATTTTATTTAAGTGGTATTGTGATGTTATTTGACTGGAAATTCAATAAGAAATATTCCAAGTAACCACAACATTGTATTTAAAACAAAAAATTAAAATGATATCCTCTTAAAATTTACTAATAATTAGTTATTTTTATGCATTTACATTTACTTATAAAAATGGTTGATAACAGATCTTTAAAGATTCCAATAAAAAATTCAAGTAATATCATTTCATTGTTAAATAATTATTATTTTTCTCACATAATCAAGTTTACAAGAGAAAGAAAAAGCATAAAGGGTGAGTGTATTTGTACAACTAAAAGAAGGTTATCAACAAAACCTCAATTATCCAACAAAAGCTTATAACTAAAGTGACCCATCACAAATCCATAGTAACATGGAAGTTTATTTAATAAAGCATTATTAAAGTCATTAAATTTTTCTTCTTCTTATGTTTATTATTACCATTCAAATATTTTTGAAAACACTTCATTACATGTCATGTATTTGCAGTCATGCATTTACTTGACTTCAATAAATCAAAATTAGAAGCATCTATATTTGATGATGGGGAAGACAATGTCAAATTTTAAAATTTATTAAAATAATTGACAATTTACTTCGCTTGGTTAAATGCATAGGACTATAAGAGTACTAAATTTGCAAAATTAAAGTCGATAGGAAAAACAAAAAATTACATTAGACTGAATTTTACACCGCAACCTACATAAACATATACCAGCTAGATGATGGATTCCATTCGTGAGATATAATTCCTCAAAAATTCTTCAATTATATAATTTTATGGACCGATTTATGTGTAAGAAATTCTTATAAATTTAACAATCAAATGTTGTAAGAGTGTTTGGAGTCATTAATAAAAAAATGGAGATAAATCCAGTACAGTACAAGTTTTGTCATTGACACTGAATAACATTGGTGCAACAATTACCATTTTTATCTTCATCTCCTTAGCAATCAACAACCCCTTCAACTTAGCAACAATCTTAGAATAATCAAATTTTATAATATAGAAAGGCATAACAAAACATAAGATGCATTTTCCATCACTATTTTTGAAAACACCACCATTTTCTATAGAGGTTCAATTGTAACTCTCATCAAAATTCAACTTAATAACTCCTGGTGTTTTCTATTATTTACTTCCATATAGAGAAACCAAAAACAAAGTTAAGACACTCAATAAAGCAATTTCTTAGTGGAATAATTGGACTGTCAATTGTGAAACAACCGCTCCAGAGGTAATGAACAACATACAAGTTATTTAATATTATAATCCTAAGCAAACATATCCCATATTTTTTTTAGAGTAAGTGCAGAAAATAAAAATGTGTTGTAAAGATTCCACAACCCTAATACATAAAAAAAAATACTAGGGACCACTTATTACGTTTAAGTTTCAAAATGTAATCAACAAGAAATAGTTTATGTAGCAATTTCCTAGTGAAGAAAGATTAGTATGTTTTTAAAATAAGCTTCTTATCATTGTAGAGACTTGCTGACCTCATTTTGAGGTCTTCTTTGAATCTTATTCGGTATCT